CCTACATGAGCCCAGGTGGCTGCAAAACTTCCCTCTGGGCCATGCAATCAAGAGAGGCCTGGGGAAACCACATCTTAAGGGCTTGACTTTGATTTGTTGAGAGAGTGGGGCCAGCAAAGGGCCCACTAAGTCTGAGTCAGAATGAGATGATAGGAGCTGGTCCCCAAAATTGCCCATTGCTTCAGCAGCCTGACCCCTCCTCCAGCGTACCTTCCCTGCCTCCTACGCACTGTCTCCAGTGTCCTGGCCGCACTTCACACTGGACAGAGCCAGGGAGACAGGACAGGCTTGCCCACCCTCCAGAGAGCCTGGCACTGTTGAAATTCAGGATCAGGGTTGCAAGAGGGAGGCTCCAGGTGCCCTGAGCTGGGTCCTGCAGGAAGGGTGGGAACAGGAGTCCCAGGTGGAGGCATGGCATGTGCAAAGGGTGGGGTGGGAGGGACCGTGTAGGGTGGGGCTGCCTCTATTGGGTAGCGGAAGGAGATGAGGGGACCGACTTGCCTCCTTTCCATCCACCCCACCCATTTCAGGACTGGAGGGCAAACATCACCATTAGCACTTGTTTGGGCTGAATTGCTTCCCCCACCCCCAAATGCATGTTGAAGCCCTAACCCCCAGGATGTCAGAATGTGATTTCAGTTTGAGTTGGGGTCTTTTAAGAGGTGATTGAAGTAAAGAGAGGTCACTAGGGAAGGCCTCAATCTGATCAGACAATTGGTGTTCTTATAAAAAAGGGAGCTCAGGACACAGACGCCCACAGAGAGAGGAGGACCATGGGAGACACAGGGAGAACAGGGCCATCTCCAAGCCATGCCGTGCTCCTCATGCAGCTCCATGCCAGGCACTGATGGGCAGAGGGGGACAGAGGGGTTGCCCTCATCCTGTGGGGAGGAAAAGGGGTAGCTTTGGGGGTCTGTCCCTGGGCACAGAAGGATGCTCTGCTTTCTGCTGCCCTGTGCCCAGAAGGAACCCTTGCTTCATGTCTCACCTGCAGAGGGGGGTCTAGCTGATCCAGCCAGAGGCAGCATCCCGCAGGCAGGGAGCCGGTACCAGCCCCGCTGAGTGGGGCTTCTAACTCTCTGGAAGCAGAGAGCTTAGGGGCATGATTTCCCAGACCCCCCAGCCTGTTAGGGGACAAAGAGCCAAGTGTCCCCAGCTGAGGCGGACAAACAGGGTTTTAGTCACCTCACCTCAGCTCCCAGCTATGTGACCTTGGGCAGGTCACTTCACCTCTCATAGTCTCTCTTCCAATCTGTAAGATGGGTCTGAGCAGGGCCACAACCAGGATTTGGGGGGCCCTCCAGCCAACCAGATCTCTCTCCTGCTGCTCTCAGGGGGAACATAGTTAGAATGAGTCTGGGGCCAAGAGCCAGCAACAACTCCTATAGTCACTGCCAGCCACTGGGACCACAGCACAGGACTCTGTCCTCTGCCCTCTCTCCTCCCTCAGCTCTCTCTCCTGGGGAAGGAGCTAGAGGTGGGGGGCTGGACCCAGGTACCACATAAAGCCAAGTGGGGCTCTGGGGAAGGGGGGCTCTGGGCAGACATTCTGGTGCTGGTGGTAGGAGGGCTTGGGCTGGGCCTGGGGGTGTCCGGCCAGGGTCTGGAAAAGACTAATTAGTCAAATGGTTGCAGTTGACCATTTGGAAGCAATTAACAGGGGCGCTATTACCACATTATGCACCCCCCACCTGGCTCTGTAAGGAAGGGAGGGGCAGAGGTCGCTGTTGTGTGGGTGCCTCAGCAGAGGCCAGTAAGACTTTGTGAGTGAGCCCCCTGAACTGCCCCCACCCCCAGCAGGCCTGAGTGCCTGAGGGCCTGGCAGTCAGGCAGGACCAGAGCCAAGCCCAGGCCAGGAGGGGTCCACAAGGCCAGGCTAGGAACAGTCCAAGGGGGCTTCCTGGGCTGGAGAGATACGGCGCCTTAGATACAGAGGAAGAACTCCCTGGGGGGTGAGCAAAAGCCTGGAGGCCCAGACAGGAAGATGTGGAAATAGATGGGAACCTGGGCAGGTGGTGAGTGTGCCAAGGGTCCCACTGACGCAGAAGCCTCTGTCAGTAGGTCTAGGGTAGCAGGTGAAGGCAGCTTTGGGTTTCAGACAACTCCCTCTGACTTGGACAAAGGAGATCACCAGGGCTCAGAGGAGAGGGAGAAATGTGGCCCAGACAGTACTGTTGTGCCTTAGAGAAGTCTCACTAAGCAGAATACCACATGGTAACCCAGGTCTGCTAGGAGGGGCCTCCTGGTAGGGGTGGGGGCACCTGCTATCCCAGCATAGCTGCGTAGCACGTCCCCTCACCCTCAAAGACACCGAGGCTTGCATAAGAGACCACGGGCCCCTAACAATGGGGCATTCGCTGCACTGATAGATAATGCTGGCAGAAGACTTTGCAGGCAGATTCCACTGAGTTTCTGGAACCAACTTTGGGGCATCAAATACATGAGAAACCAGTATCTCAGAGAGGTGATGCTGCATGGCCATCTCCATGTGGCAAGAGGCGGCCAAGCCACTCATCATTCATGCATTCATTTAAGGAGTGTACATTGAGGGACCACATGCCAGGTGCTGTCTAGAAGCTGAGTGGACAGTCAGGGACAAAACTACCAGAACCTCTTACCCTCTGCAGCTTCCCTCCTATGGAAGGGAGTCACCCTTGGATCCCTGCCCTCATCCCAGGTTCTAGGACACAGGCAGACCCGGAGGTGGGCAGTGGCTGACCACAAGTGGGTGGGGTTGGAGATCAGTGCCAGGGAGCCTCCCTGGGAACTGCTGGGGGCCCGAGGCATGGAGCAGGAGGGACACTGCAAACCCAGCTGCCTCGGTTGGATTTTTCTGCCTCCTCCTAGTCTTCCAGAGAGGCAGAGGGAGACTTGTAGAGGGGAGGGTGGGCTGACCTAGGAAAGGTGCATCCGGAGTCCTGTGCTCGCCCAGCCCAGCAGACCACTCTTGCTCTCTCGTTCTTAGAATTAGTCTATCTCTTCTCTCCTCCGGCTGTTTCTCTCGGTTGCTCTGAATTCTTACACTTTTCTCTCTGTCTCTGTCTGTCTTGAACGCTGCATTTCTTCTTGTCTCTCTGGACCACAGTGTTGGGAGGCTGGCGACTCACACTGGCAGAGCTAGAGGTGTTCCGGATGCCAGCATCTGCTGGGCTGCCGCTGTTCTCTCTGAGGAAGGTCAAGTGATCAGCAGGTGCCAGCCCAGGTCAGCACACAGAACCCCACTGGGCACGTTCTGCTCTTGGTTCTGTCCTTGGGGTGTCCCTGGGCCTTCCTCTGTCCCCTGTAACGTAGGGTCCATTACTAAAAGGTTGAGGCTCTAGCATTTCAGTGGCCTGGTCTTTGTACTGTTTAAGGACCCTCGCAAGCCAGCTGGGGGGCGGTGTGATCAGGCATGCTTTCCAGGCCTGAGGTGCTGAGTGCTGGCTTGGGGGTGTCCACCTCTGGGAGGAGCACTCAGGCTCAGAGCATGCTGGAGTGTGCTCACGGACCACACGCTGCCTAGCTGTATTAAGCCATGGCTAGAAATGTCCCAGTGGTGTGCACTAGCTGCTCGGCACCCCTGCCAGGACCCAAAATCCTGGTGCAGGCCTGAGGGACAGGGACGCTGGCCACTTGGCTTCTTCCAGAGCCCCTGGTCAACTTGGAGCCAAGACTGTAGCCTAGACCACTGGACCCCATGGTGCCCCACCCTGGAGGCAAAGCCCCTTTGAGTGAGCCCACCAGCAGGTATCCTGCTGACTGCTGCCCAGGAGGCCACTGGGGGCAGAGGCCAGGGGAGCAAGAGAAAGGACGGGGAATGTGGCTTTTCCCAACAGTGTCTGAGCCCCTTTCACCGGGATCCCCAGTAGACACGTCTCCCACCCCGACCCCTGACGTGCACCCTGACCCCCAGGCAGCCCAGGGCTGTGTGCTGCTGTGGAACCATCAGGGCGGCGCTGCTCTGCCCTTGTGCTTCGCTCTCAAACCCGTCTCTCTGTGGCCGCCAGACTTCTTCAGGCCTTCTTCCAGGGGTCCCTGCTGCCCTGTCTCGTCTGGTCATTCCCTTCCTGTCTTGTCATTCCAGGGGCTGTCTCCCCCCACCTTGTCCGCCCCCCCCTTTGCCTGTACCGCTCCTCCTCCCTGGGACTCTGGCTCTGGCTCCTCTGCACCTCCTGCCAACTCCTCAGCCCCATCTCTGGGCAGGACCCTCCGGGGTGCCTGGTTGGGGTGTGTGACAGGATAAAGCACCTCCTGGCGGGTCCCACCACATGCCGCTCCTGCAGGAGTTCCTGGCGCAGACACAAACCCGGGGTCTCCCACGCGCGCCCGAGGCCCAGACCCTCCCCTCCGCAGCCCTCGCCAGCCCCCTTCATTATGCGTCGCCTTTAATGGGCGTTTGTCAGCTCGACTTCCCCGCAAGTTGTTTTCACGGACATCAGTCATCTGCGCGGCCCTATTGTGCAGGGGGATTGATGGGGGGCGGGAGGGGGTGACAGGGCCTGGGGCGGCCGCCTCGAGGCCTCAGTCTATAATTTTCAGAGGCATAATTGGTCTGGGGGAGGGGCGGGGGAAGGGCGGGGAAGGGACCTTCAGAGCCCGGAGGGCGTGCGGGGGCGCGGGGCGCGCTGCCTAACGGAGCTGCAGCCCGACTGCGGTGCGCGGGGGCGAGGTGCGCAGGCAGCGCCCGCCGAACCTCGTGCCCCGCGGGCTCTCCACCCGTCGGCCTCCCGCCCCGCCCGCGCCTCCGCCTGGGGACCACGTCGGCCTTTTGTTGCCGAACCGTCCTTTCTTCCAGCACTTTGCGCAGCAAAGGAAATTTCACTGCTCCTGGGTGAACATTAAAGGATCTTTTGCTACCCCCCTTCTCCCTCTCTCCCTTCTCTCTCTCTTTCTGTCTTTCTCTCCTCCTCCTCCTCTCTGTCACCCCACTTTTCCCTCCTCCCTCCCTTTTTCGCGGAGCCGGAGTCCGCACCGCCACGCGCGCGAGTCGGCTCCCAGCGCTTTGCGCGGCTCAGCTGCCGCCCCTTCCATGGGTGCCGCGCTCTCCTGCAGCCGCCGCCGCCGCCGCCGCGGAGCGGGCGCGATGCCACTATGGGCTTGATCTGGCTCCTGCTGCTCAGCCTGCTGGAGCCCGGCTGGCCCTCAGCTGGCCCCGGGGCGCGGCTGCGGCGCGATGCGGGCGGCCGCGGCGGCGTATACGAACACCTCGGCGGGGCGCCCCGGCGCCGCAAACTCTACTGCGCCACCAGGTACCACCTCCAACTGCACCCGAGCGGCCGCGTCAATGGCAGCCTGGAGAACAGCGCCTACAGTGAGTGCTGGGTGTTGCGGGGGTCCCGCAGGGTGGGCCTGGAGAATAGCGCCTGCAGTGAGTGCTGGGCGTTGCGGGGGTCTCGCAGGGTGGGCCGGGAGAACAGCGCCTACATTGAGTGCTGGGCGCCGGGGGAGTCCCGGGGGTGAGGGAAGGAGCAGCGCCCTGCAAGGGCCGAGGGAAGAGACGCCGCGTGCCAAGGTGTCCGAGAGGACTAGGTGCCTTCCGCCGCCAAAGGTGGAATGCCGAGGTCCTCTCGTCTCTCTCCACGTCCGGAGAAGAATGCCCGCTGAAGTCCCCCGGGAGCTTTGGGGCAAGGGGACTCACGTCCAAAGAGGGCACCCACCTATGGCCGCTGCCCGCGTTTGGGGAGAACTGTCAGAGTCTGCTCCCCGCTCGGCCCGCTAGTCCAAGAGGGCGCGAGGTAGGCGACGCCGAGGCTCTCGGCTCAGCCGCGTTTGGTGGCCCTGTCAAGTTTAAGCCTTTTGAATTTGTCAGAGAAAAGGAGCTGGACAAGGCATTTATCATCCTCTTTATTATTTTGACGACTTCTCCTCCTCCTGCGACCCCTGTACGCCCCACCGTCCCCTCTGCTCTTGATGCTTGCGGCCCAGGTGGTCGCCCTGCGCGACGGCTTCTGCGCAGAGAACGGCCACTCGCCTGGGCGCAGCTAGGTCCCGGCCGAGACTGCCACCGACAGACACTACTTTCCCGGCGCTGATCTGCACCCCTCCCGCCTTCACCCTGGACCGCAGAGCTACAGGAAGGGTGGGGGCCCCGCCGCTGGGGTGGGGGGCAGACGCAGGATGCGGATCAGGAGCACAGGGAGGTGTCAGCCTGGGTCTGAGGTGCAGATAACACAGCCCACCCGGCATCCAGGCCCCCGCAGCCGGGACTGCTCACCGCGGGAGGCACGCGAGACTCCACTGCTTAGATTCTTCGGGCTGCAGGGACCTGCGGCCGCGCTGAGCCCTCGGTGGGCAGCAAGAGAGCGGAACTCAGAGCCAGCTCCCGAAGGATCGCAGTCGCGAGCGTGGGAGTGTGTGTGCCCAGGGCCGCGGAGGTCCTCCGCTGCGACGCGCGGCCTGGCCGATGCAGGCGGCGGCGGGAAACCACAGCTCCCTGGTGGAAGCCGCAGCCCTGTGAAGGGTGGAGGGATACCTCTGGAGCTACACAGTGGGAACCAGCCGTCGCCAGGAGTACTGGTTCTCAGGGTTCGTCTCCAAGAGACACCGGGTTCTCTCCAAATCCAGACTCCGCCTCGCAGACCAATGAAACTAAACTGGTGCAACCAGGGAAGGCTGTCGGAGGTGGAGAGGTGCGCGCGAGCCTGCAGCAGCCCTTGTCCCGCATCCAGACTGATGCTCTGCTGGCCTGAGGCTGGAGTCCGTCCTGCCTGCGCCCCAGGGGCGCCAGAGGCCAGAGGCCTGCACCCCTGCTCGGGAGCAAAAGTGCCAGCGAATCTGCAATCGATCCCAGTGATTACAGCAGCGTTGAGTGCGTGGGTGCTCCCAACAGGCACCCCCTGGAGAGGATGCAGTCCCCCCACCTCCCCTTAGAGCAATGACCCCATCTGGGCCGTGGTTGCACCCCCCACCTCCACCCTGTTCTTCTGTCTAGAAGGAAAGGAATTAGGGGAGATTTAAACGTTCTTACACTAGGGAGTGGGTGAGACCTGGCCAGGTTTCTGCCCCACATCTAGTATCTCTAGGTACCCCCTTCCCGGCACAATTATCTCCTGCCAGGTCCACTGGGGCACCCACTCTGCACTGCACTGTGGGTTGTGTTATCAACTGACTGGTCCAGCCCAGGCGGTCCCTCAACCTGCCTTATCTGCAGCCTGGGTGAATTCCCACTCAAACTCATGCTGTGCTCTGCGGAGGGCGCTTGTCCAAAGGTTGCTGGAGACCCCAGGTCATGCCTGTCACAGGGTCTGTGGGTGTAAATGTTAATTGTATTATTTCTCTCCCAGGTTGAGCTGCTCTTTTTGGAAAGGCTTCCCTGATGTCTCCCCTTCTCTACTCCCATCTGTTGGTGGTCCTTGCCACCCCTGAGATGGGGGGTCGGAGAAGGTCTGGGCAGGGCCAGCTGGCGCTCAGCTGTCACCTCTGTGACTCTGTGAGGTGGGGAGGCAGCAGCAGTAATGAACCTTCCTGATTCTTCCCAGGCATCCTGGAGATAACCGCAGTGGAGGTGGGCATCGTGGCCATCAGGGGGCTCTTCTCCGGGCGGTACCTGGCCATGAACAAGAGGGGCCGGCTCTACGCTTCGGTGAGTCCGGTCCTCCATGTGGGCAGGTGCTGATCAGGTGACCATCTCACTGGAACCTGACATCAGGGCACAGAGGGAATGTGGGCAGTAGAACTCTGCCCAGAGCTGCAGCCAGAACCCCCATCTGTGACTCCTCACCTGCTGCTCTTTTGGCCCCATTTCTTACCAGCTGCCCCAGCTTGAGTGTAGCCATTGGGGAGGAGCTTGCTGGGGTCAGACGTGCCCTGTGTCTGGGTTAGAAAATGCTCCCCCAAACCACGTCATCATTATCACTCCTCCCTAAGGGTAGCTGAGAGCCCAGGAGAAATGGTCCCTCAATTTTCCACTGAAATAAATGGACCCAAGCCAGCTGCGGGAGGAGGTGAGGTGTTGGTCGTCTCAGCCAGCTCCCTGGAGGGTGGAAAGGCAGGAGCTGGTGGTTCTTAGGAAGGAACCGAGAGGGCAGGAGGTGAGCAGGGCCCTTGAACCTGGGTTTGGAACCTGGTCTCTCTACCACCTGGTCCTGTGACTCTGTGGGCATTGGCAGTGTCTCTCACCCGCAGGGGCAGGGATGAGGAAGACCTAATTAGGAGATGTGCTGCCTGCACCTAGTTATTACACGCACCTCAGCTGATACCTTCGTGGGCAATGACAGGTTTGCCGTGCATATGTAACCGGGTCGACATGCCCCTCGGACTGTCTTCCTGTGGTTGCTTCTCTGTTCAGTTGTGCTTACAAGGGAAACATGCCACCATTCCCCTGCCCACGTGGAGGTGGGGCAAACCCTCCTTTTACTCAATTATTCCACCACAGATGTTCGGCTGTTCTGCTGAGGGAAATGCAGAGGTTGGGATGCACCCATTTGTTTTCTGTGGCCTAGGAGCCACCTGTTAGAAGCTGTGTCTGGGGACAGGGCCCTTGCAGTGCCAGCCCCTCTGAATTTTCTCCCAGAGTCTCCACACACCAATTGTGGTTTATAAGAATGTGCACTTTGGGCTCGGCGCCTATAGCTCAACCAGCTAAGGCGCCAGCCACGTACACCTAAGGTGGCGGGTTCGAATCCCCAGCCCGGACCCGCCAAACAACAATGATGGCTGCAACCAAAATATAGCCGGGTGTTGTGGCAGGCGCCTGTGGTCCCAGCTACTTGGGAGGTGGAGGCAAGAGACTCGCTTGAGCCCAGGAGTTGGAGGTTGTTGTGAGCTGTAATGTCACGGCACTCTACCCAAGGGGACAGCTTGAGGCTCTGTCTCAAAAAAAAAAAAAAAAAAAGAATGTGCACTTTGCCTGGGGCTGGGTCTGGATTTTCTTAGAGCTGGACTGGGGCTTTCTGAACCCCAGGGACCCTGTACTTCTGGTGTGTGTAAAGGGGACTGACCTTGTATTTGTTTTTTTTGCAGTTTTTGGCCAGGGCTGGGTTTGAACTCACCACCTCCAACGTATGGGGGTGGCGCCCTACTCTTTTGAGCCACAGGTGCCGCCCCAACCTTGTATTCTTAAAATGGACCATCTCTCAGCTGCGTCTCTCCCTGTGGTCTTCAGTGATGGTACAGGTCTTACTGACCGTGGAAGAGAATTTCTGTCCCCACTGGGGACTTCAGAATAGAGCGGGGAGTGCTGGCTCAGGAGGGAAGACAAAGGCCTCTATCATCTCTTCCTATAGGGGCCTGGGTTTTGGGGGGACAGAACAGAGCCCACCTGTGGCTTCCATCCCTGGATTTGAAGAATGGAGAGAGGCTCGAAGCCCACTGGAGGGTGGGAGGATGAGTTCAGGAGTAGCCAGGCAATCTAGCTGGACCATGTGCAACTTTCTAGAGTGCCCAGGAGAGAAGGTCTCAAGGCCCCACAGACAGCCTGGCAGGAAAGGTAGCCTGGGGGCCAACCCTGCCCCCTGGTGCCCTCATCCTGTCTTCTGCCAAATCCTGGGGAGTGCTGTTCTCCCCACCCCGCCTGGGGGCAGCCCGAGCTCTCTGAACTTTGCCCTCAGCCCACTCCTCCCCTCCCACGGGCCAACCCATCTGCTCTGTGGGCAGTGACTATTACTGCTCCCTGCCACTCCCACTTCTAGCCCTGGCCTCCCTTCTGGGTTATAGGCCACTCTCCCCAAAGTCCTGCTGGCTCAGAGACTCCAGGCAGAGGGCAGCACACCCCACTGGACTCCCCTGTTCCCCTGAATGCACATCTTAGCCATTGGCCCCCCAGCCACTCACCATAGCCCAAGGTCAGCTGGGAGCCATGGCAGACTTCACCTGCTCTCTCTGCGCCAGCTTTGACTCATCTCAAATCCTCAGACTGTACCTCCTGGATCTCTGTTCAGTCCACATACCCCACATCCCTTGCTTCATTCCCAAGACCATTGCCGACAATGCAGACTCTTGTGACCCCCACCAACATACCTACAGCCATAGGACCTAGGTATAGGCCTGTAAGCCTCTCCTGCCTTCAGTCCATCAGTTCCCCATCTGGGCTTCCGTTCCCCATCTGGGCATCCGTCCCACCTCCCAACCTCTCTCTCCCCCTCCCTCCCTCTCTCCTTCCCTCCCACCCTTCCTTCTTCCATCCTTCTATGCATGTATCCTACCTTTATTTCTTCCCCATCTATTTATTCATTCACTGATCCTTCCTTCCATCCATTTATGCATTCATCCATCCATCCACCTAATCTTCCTTCCATCATCTGTTCATCCACTTATCCATCCACCTATCCATCTTTCCTTCCATCTATCTATTCATCCATCCATCCACCTATCCTTTCTTCCTACCTTCCTTCCCTCCATCCATTCACCCACCCACCTATCTTTCCTTCCTTCCATCCATCTATTCATCCATCTTTCAATCTGCCTGTGCTTCTTTCCACCCATCTAATCATCCATCTATCTATCTATCAATCCTTCCATCCACCTAGTCCTCCTTCCTTCCATCCATCTACCTATCCTTCTTCCCATTCCTTAGTCTATTCATCTGTCCTTCACCTACCTATTCTTTTTTCCCACATATATTCATCCATACCTCCACCCATCCTTCTTTTCTTTCAGCCATCCATTCATCCTTCCATTCACCTATTCTTCCTTCCTTTCTTCCATACCCATTTATGCTGCTTTCCTTCCTTCATTGACCAATCAGTGCCCTGGCCACTCACCTTATTTGCACTCTGCTAGGCACATGTTGAGGGATCTTAAATGGCAAATCTGCTCATGTCATGGCCTGTGAGCACTCCTCCTCATCCAGGAATGATTGGTGTGCCTTGGCTCCGCCCACCATTCTGTAGCCCATGCCCCCTCTGCTCATCAGGCCCCTCTTGGCTCTTCAGAACACCTGTGCTACTCACCCTCCACTTGTGCCGCCACTGCCTGGAGTGCTCCTCTCCCCAGAGATGCCCCCTGGGCAGTGCCCTGCCAGGACTCTTCAAAAGTCATCTTGTCAACAAGGCAACAAGGCATCTCTGAGTCTCCTTCCTTCTCATGCTCCACAGGGTGGAAGTGGCCCCAGGGAAGGGACTTGTTGAACAAAGAGTCTGGATGAGACAGCAGGTCAGGATAGCCAGTGGGAACTGTTGACAGTGAGTCCCAATGGCAGTGGCCCTGGAGCATGTGACCCTGGCCCCTGAGCTGACATCTTCATCCCTGGTCATCTTGGTCATCCCAGGTGTCCTCACAAGGTGCAGCAAGTGATCTGAACCCAAGAGGGCCTGGGCCCCTGGCCTTCTGAGGCTCTCAGATCCATGTCCTTCAATTACCTCCCCCACTACCAAAAAGAGAAAGCCACCATCTGGCTTCTCTGGCCCTGGGCGGATGCATCTCTTGTAGAATCAAGGCAAGGGCGTCAGTCCTGGCCCTTACTTTCTCACAGTCTAGATGGGGGCCAGCCCTAAAATAGCATGTCCACTGTGAGGGGCTGGGGAAAGTCTGCCCTGAACCCACCCACCCATTCCCAGACGGTCTCTGAGCCCCATGCTTTGCAGGGGTCAGGTATAAGTCAGAACAATGTCCTGTCCTTCTGTGATTTGGGGTCTGGTACATACCCCAGCCTCAGTTTCCCCATCTGTAAACTGTGAAAGTTGTTCATGGGTAGTGATGTTTACACTGGGATCCAGGGAGCCCTGGGCTTCTGTGGAGGGGCAGGAGAGCTGGGAGGGGTTGGGGTTGTGGGGAGAGGTGGCCTTTCCCCTTTACCTACTGTGGGCTTCACCAAAAAGGATTTGCTTCCTGAGGTCCTGCCCGGTCAGACGCTGCCCAGGCTATGGGCAGGGCCTGGCCAGCCTATGACTGCCTTTGGCCACTCAGTAGCTGCTCCTTGTCCTCATCCCCTCAGGGATACCACACCCAGGTGGAGACAGACTGTGAAGGCCTCTGCTTTTTTCCGGCCAGTGTCCGGAAGGAAGGACACCCTTCTGCTTTCCCTGCACCCCACAGTGCCCCTTACAGAGTGTGGGGAGGAGTCGGCCGTTTCCGTTTGGGATGGAGAAGCTCCCATCCATGGTCTTCTTGGGGAGGTGGCCCTAGACATTCCCCCTTGCCTGTAGCTGGGACTGAAACCTCAGCTGGGTTTGCTTCAGGCATAGCCACACTGGGGAGACCCCATAGACAGCCCCTGAGAGGACCTCCCACAGCCAGGCCTTGGGGACGTTGGTGACAGCTTCTCCACTTCAGAGTTTCACTGTGCATTTGGGAGGGTAGGAACCTACCTGTCATTTCCCTACCCCTGTGGGATGTCCTCTCAGGGGCTGCCTTGTGGGGTGTCCCCAGTGTGGCTATGCCTTAAGCTATGCCTAACAAGGCACCCCCATTGATCTCAATGACAATGTGAATTTCATTTACATCTACTTGTGTTGGAAGCCCCAGCATCTGTACTCATCCCAAGAGCAGCAATATTGGTGACATAGTAGCATCCTGGCTTCAACCTAAGGGATGGGGATCCTCCAGGCCAGCCGCAGACAGCCAGGCCATCGGGTCGGCAGGCTGTCTCTGCTCCACAGACAACCCACACATCCTTATGTGGAGGGAGCCCCATCATTAGTGCTCTCAGGCCAGTGGACAGAGGGTGGCAGAGCCCAGAGGGGAGAAGCAGGGAGGAGCTGACCCCTCTGGAGGTGCTCTGGAAACCTTAGAGAGAGATGTTTAAGCTGAAGGCCAAGTTCACCAGGTACACTAGGAGTGGCACACAGGGCAAAGGTGTGGAGGCCCAGGTGTGACCAGGGGTTTGACAGGCACAGGCAGCTGGGGCCGACAGCTTCAATGGAGGGGAGGGAGGTGTCAGGAAGCAGGCATCCTTGTGACCCTAACCCTGACACCAGTGTGATCTCTCGTGACCACTGACCATGGCATATTGTCCCCGCAGGAGCACTACAACGCTGAGTGTGAGTTTGTGGAGCGGATCCACGAGCTGGGCTATAACACGTACGCCTCCCGGCTGTACCGGACAGTGCCCAGCGGGTCTGGGGCCCGGCGGCAGCTCAGTGCTGAGAGACTGTGGTACGTGTCTGTGAATGGCAAGGGCCGGCCCCGCAGGGGCTTTAAGACGCGCCGTACACAGAAGTCCAGCCTGTTTCTGCCTCGCGTGCTGGACCACAAGGACCACGAGATGGTGCGGCTTCTTCACAGCCACTCAGCCAGGCCCCCGGGCAGGGGGGTCCATCCAGGGAGGCCACAAGGCTCAAAGCCCACACGTGTCCCAGCCCCACAGCTGGGTGCCAGGCACACGGCCTGGGTGGCCTAGCCAGGGCCCGAGTGTTTCTGTAGGAGCCCTGGTGTCCTCAGGGACTCTGGTGCCCTGGCCCCATTGTCCTACTCCTGAGGTGGCCGCTGTTTCCAAGTCAACACAGTCCCCTTCCTGGTGCTCTTGACCGAAGGTCAGATGTGGACTCAGGTGCCCTGCTGGGGCTCGAGGAGGGCTGTGGAGAATGCAAGACGCCCCTGGGTTTATGTGACAAGGGGCCCCTTGGCCGCAGCAAGGAAGACTTCCCCTCACCAGACGCCCAGCCCAGCAGACTGAGGAATCCCCAGCCGCAGGTGGCAGCGTGGGGGTTCATGTAATTGAAACATTAAAGTATTTTATCGACTTTGTTATTTAATAGATTATGGTGCAGGCTGCAGGATCACTCGCAACTTTTCTGGGAATGTACTTGCTCCGATGGCGGTGTCAAATGCTATTATTCTAAGATGGAAAGTTGTATTCTGAGAAATAGGGCTAGAGATCTAGTTGAGTGGCCTGGCTTTAGAAAGTTAACATTTTTGAGACCAACAGATGGTGTGTGCAGACCGTCATGAGCATGCCTGTGTATGGACTCTTGCACCTGCACACGCCCTTGTGCATGGAGAGGGGCGTTTGTGTGTTCCCGAGAGTGTGCATGCATGTAGGTATGTGTGTGTCACTGTGTCAGTGTGCAGGTGCACTCGCGTGAGCACGTGCTAGTGTGTTTGTGTACGGGAGAGACTGCAAGTTTCCCTGGGACAGTTGAGTTGAGCACCTGTGTCAGTCCAGCCAGGCATTGCAGTCTCTTTCTGCTTTTGTCCTTGCACTCTGCCTCCAGGCCCAAGCACCTCTGTCTTTGCCTAAGAAACTGAGGCTCAGACAGGCGATGGGTCTGCCCGGACCAGGTGCCTCTCCACACCTGTTCCCCAACAATGGCTGTAGGGCAGGGTCCGCTGGGCGGCCCAGATGAGAGCCAACGGGTTTGGGCGGTGCATTTACCTCTCCCAGCACCTGGCAGGGTGGGCAGGGACCCAGGTGAGGGGCCTGGCCTAGGCCCCCAGACAAGTATGGCTGTCTGTTCACCTGCCCTAACCAGGGTCAGAGAGCCTAAGGTTGGCTCCGACTAGCCAAACACACAAGGCGGGCAGCTCTACACTGCACGTATACAACACAAATGAAAATCTTGGCAAAGTCTCAACAAGGCTCCCCAGCCCCCGGCGGGTCAGATTCCCGGGAATCATCTCCCCATACCCCAGGGATATGTATTCACGACAGTGAGCAGGAGCAGAGTGCTTACATGGCATTGCAGTGGGTCTGTCTTTTGTCCAGCATGAGCTGGGTCAGGTGCTCCTATTACTTCCATTTTGTGAATGAGGAAACTGAGGCTTGAAACTTGCAATTTCAAAGGGCATCTGCCTACGCACTCTGTCATATAGGAGGTCCCTGACCAAGGGCTGTGTGGCCCTTGGTTATTATTTCTAGTAGACTTGGCATGAGAATACACATTTTTCTGCAGCTGCCAGGCTGTGCTGGGCTCTGTCTTACCCCCTCCTCTGGAGTCCAGGAAGCTTCATTTTAGGGTAGGTTGAACCATGTCCCCTCCCTAAAATGCCTGCGTTGAAATCTTAACCCTTGGTGCCTCTGAACGTGACCTCATTTGGGGATAGAGTCATTGCAGATGAGATTAGGTAAGATGTGATCCCACTGGGGGCAGGTGGACCCCAATCTAATCTGATGAGGTCCTTACAAAAGGGAAAATTTGGATGGCATCTGTTGCTCAGTGAGTAGGGTGCCAGCCACATATACCAAGGGCGGCAGGTTCAAACCCAGCCCCAGCCAAACTGCAATTAAAAAAAAAAACAAAACAGCCGGGCGTTGTGGCAGGCGCCTGAGTAGTCCCAGCTACTCAGGAAGCTGAGGCAAGAGAACTGCCTAGGGCCAAGAGCTGGAGGTTGCTGTGAGCTGTGACGCCATGTGCCACAGCACCCTACTAAGAGCAACAAAGAAAAAAAGGGGGGGAGGAAACTCAAAGTTGGACATGGTGGCTCATGCCTGTAATCTTAGCGCTTTGAGAGGCTAAGGTGGGTGGATTGCTTGACCTCATGAATTTGAGACCAGCCTGAGCAAGAGCAAGACCCCATCTCTAAAAGTAGCCAGGCATTGTGGGGGGCTCGTGTAGTCTCAGCTACTCAGGAGGCTAAGGTAAGAGGATCCCTTAAGCCCAAGAGTTTGAGGCTACTGTGACTTATAATGCCACAGCACTCTACCCAGGGCCAGAGAATGAGACTCTGTCTCGAGGGGTGGGGGAAAGCAGAGAAATTCAGAAATAGGTGCGTGTGCTTAGGGAGATGACCCCATGGAGATGAAGGCAGAGATGCTTCTACAGCACCAGTGACGGCCAGTGACGGCCAGCAACTGCCAGCAGCCCAGGGGATGGAACATTCTCCCTCGTGGCCCTCAGGAGGAACCTGCAATGATGACGCCTTGGTCTGGGACTTGCAGCCTCTTGAGCTATTTAAACATTCTGCTGTTTAAGCCACTCAAGCTCGTGTGCCTTGTTACGGCAGCCTAACCAAATGAACATGGAGGGCCAGGGCCTGACTGCTCAGCGGTTTGGATGGACCCCCAAAGGAGGGAGAGCCCCCGTTCTGTTGAATGAGGGGATAGGGGAGAAGGCAGCTCCCTGTGCTGATAGGGTTGGCTCCCTGGAGGGTTAGAGGGCACAAGCTTCGTGGGGCACCCAGGTGGATAGAGGCTTCCACCCACACATGAGGGGATAGGAGCAGATGGAACTCCCCTGAAAAGGAAACGGGGTCAAGGTTGGGCCCTGTGACCCCTGTCCTGCCACTCTTTGGCCTGGCCCACCTGCCCTGTGTGAGCCTGGGGTGGGCAGCACCTGGAGACGGTGCCCTGTGGCTCGGTGAGAAGATGCCCACGGAGCCAGGGAGGGCACCCCAGAGGCTCCAGGACAGCAGCCTCCACGCTCCCCCATCATTTGTCAACCAGGAGGGGGTGGGGAGGAGAAAAAGACAAGCCGAGGGGCTGGGGCCGGGCCGTTGCCTATCGAGAGTCACTGGGCCTTTGGGCCAAGACCTGTCAGGAGTAGAAATGTAAAGTGATGCAGCCACCGTGAGAAATGGTTTGGGGGGTCCTCCAAAGTGACCCGGCAATTCCGCCTGGAAGTGAACCTGAACGCTGTGACAGCAGGGCTTCAAACAGGTATGTGCACACCCGTGTTCAAAGTAGCAGTGTTCACAGGGGCCCAATGCTAGCAGCCGCCCAGCTGTCCCTCAACGGATGAACAAAGAAGCGCGGTCTAGCGGCACGATGGAGCATTATTCAACCTTAAAAAGGAGGGGACTTTGCTGCATGCGGCAGCGTGGAGGACAGCATCTCAGTGACACGCGCCAGTCACAAAGGACACATGTAGGCAGTTTCACTTGTCTGAGCTCCTCTGAGGAATCAACTTACAGAGACAGAATGGGGGGGGTGGTGTTTAGTGGGGACTGTTCCAGTTTGGGAAGATGGAAAACTGCAGACGGGTGACGGTGATGGTGACGGTGACACAGACTGTGAATGTCCTCCGCACTCTGCCTTGTACAATTAAGGGGGCTGAACTCCCTGGAAGGCCTTCACTGTGGAAATTGGGTAATTCATCTTAGTGTCCCCCAAAGGTGTCTAGTTGAGAATATTGAGGTGCTTAATAAAAATTGTTTAATAAACTGAAAAAAAAAATAGAATAAAGAACCTCTCAGGGTAGCCAGCAGGTGCTTGGCCTCCCAGTTGGCTTGGCCCCTGCCCTGCAGGGGAGCATTTGACTTCGGTCTCTGTCCAATTCCCGTCTGCCCACAGGGAATGTGGCCCTGCCTGTGGGAAGCCAAGAGAACAAGGCCCTGCTCCCTGGCCCCTGGGCCCCAGCACTGGGCGGCCTGCTCTGCCTTCAGTGGGAAAGGCAGGACGTGCCCTGGGTGACGGAGCTTCAGCTGCTCGGAGCTGGCCTTTGAACCCCTTGGTTGGTTCAGAGGCCTCCCGCCTACCCAGGGGTTGAAGGCCTTGGGAAGGTGAACAAGCAGGCCTATAATTAGTGGCTCTTCATTGCAGGACAACCTTGCCTCACTTGCATCCCAGGGCCACACCAGATATCGCCCCCAGAGCTGTGCCCTGTCCCCTCTCAGGCTGCAGTGGCTGGGACACCAGGGACTGCCCACACTTGTGCTGGAGCACCTGCCTGGGCTGCGTGCCCACGTCAGGGACCTGGAAGAAAGGGCAGGAAAAGAGCCCGTACTTGACCTGCTGGTTCAAACGTGGCCTTGGCCACATTTGTTGTTTGATCATGATGACATGCAAGCTGTGTGGTCTAGGACTGGCCCCCGCCTCACCCAGCCTTGAGTCTTCTGTCTGTAAAATGGAGTTCCCACTGTGATCATCAGATATGCTGAGGGGGCACAGATAGTTAATTATCCCTAAGTCATAGCTGCACTGCCCGCAGAGGCTCCAGGGGATGGCATGGCACTGCTCTGCAGTGGGGCAGGGGGTGGGGTGGCAACTGAACATTCCTCCCCAAGGCACCTTTCCTGCAGCCCACTGTGAGGGGTCGGGGACCCAGCTTCAGAGAGGAGAATGATGGAGGCCTGGGGAGCACTGATCATGAGTGGGGGATCCTGGAGACCCCTGCATTGGGCAGGCTATTTTTTTTTGTTTGTTTGCTTTATGAGACAGAGTCTCACTATGTTACCCTCAGTAGAGTGCCGCAGTGTCACAGCTCAGAGCACTCTCAAACTCTGGGCCCAAGTGATTCTCTTGCCCCAGCCTCCCGAGTAGCTGACTATAGGCACCCACCACAATGCCTAGCTATTTTTTGGTTGCAGTTGTCATTGTTGTTTAGCAGGTCTGGGCCGGGCTCAAACCCTCCAGCTTTGTTATATGTGGCTGGTGCCCTGCTCACTAGGCTACAGGCGCAGAGCTGGGCAGGCTGTTTTGAGACAGATTTTAAAAAGTCATTTATTATCTCTGATAAAAATAAA